CCTTCCTTCCCAGCCTTCAGAAAACAGGCAGAAATACACACAGAGGCCCCTTTTATTGTCTCCAGTATGTTGTATTTTTCACAAGTTTTTCCCACGAACCTGAATCTGTCCCCAATGTACAGGTGCTTTGCCACCTCTTTGGTGGAGTTGGACATGGAGGTTGAGGTGGAATCATGGGCCGATCTGAGAATAGAGGCAGAGGCCGAGGGTGCCTCTAAGATAGTGCTGTCAGTCTCATGCTCGGACTTCTCCTCGGCTGGCCTGGACTCTTCGGATCATTCATCCTTCTCCTCCTCTTCTTCATACGCCTCCTCCTCCTCCTCTTCATACTCTTCCTTTGCATCCTCATCCTCCTCGTCCTCCTCAGAATCATTGGGCTCCAGCTTCAGCTCAACATCAGTTTCAGATTCGACTTCCTCCCCGAACTCGTCCTCCATTTCTTGATCCAACACGTTGGACTCCGAGGATTCCTCGAAGAACTGCAGCTCCGGCTCGGGCTCAGGCTCTAGCTCAGGTTCGCTGGTGTCCCTCTTGGGCATCCCTCGATGGTAAAGCACGAAAACTGAGCGTTTGAGCTTTCTGTTGGGGCTCTTATCCAACACGGAGATTGATGACCCTTTGCCTCTGCAGAAGACAAGAGAGGAAAAGAGAAGAGGCCAGATCAGTGGGGGCTGCGCTGGGCTGGGGCTAGGAGCAATGGAGGAAGAGGAAGGGCCGGGCCGGGAGGGGAGGGGCAGGGCTGGGGACAGGGGCAGGGACAAGACCAGGACACAGCCAGGGTTCTCTCACATTTTCAGCTTCCAAACGCTCAGCCTCTGCCTGGGCTGCGCTGTTCTCCGCCTGGGCCGCGCTGTTCTCCGCCTGGGCCGCGCTGTTCTCCGCCTGGGCCGCGCTGTCCTCCACCTGGGCCTCATTCTCTTCTGTCCTCTTCCGTTTGGTGCTCCTCCGCTCTTCTTCCTTTGCCATGGGCTTCTGGAAGCTTACCAGTTTACAACCCATTTTCCCCAGGTACTACAATACTCCTCCACCATGGGAGAGCTTCACGCCTTTGCTCCCCTCCCGCTCTGCTAACTCTCTGAACTCTGCTGCAGCTATGAGAGCCACACCCTACCTTTGTTAGGTCACCCGGGCTATGCGCCAATTGGAGCCCTGGAGAGGCTCTGACATCACTAACCCTAACCCTCAACAATGTATGGAAATCTGAAATACAGCAAACACTGTTTTTAGAAGATTTAAGATTTCATTAGTAAATCTCTTGCCAGTTTTTTAGCCTCCATTCCATTGTATGTAAGATGACCTCTACCAAATATTTTTCCATCACTTAAACATGTAATTTTACTATAAAAATAGAATAAATAGCTTTAAAGAACTTTATTATTATTTAAAAGCGTGGGAGTTGTGAGACTTTACTAACCTTAGCAAGTAAGGATTTCGAGATCTCCCTCCCAGAGCCTTCTGACCCACTTGGGTCTCACCTCATCCAGGTATATCATTACCTTGAGGTTTTGATTCATCTTCATTCTGAGTTGAATCTCCTGTTGGCAGAAACCCGTTAATTTTTCTGTTTTCCTATTTATACCTGCATTTTGATGGATTTGGAGTCTTCAGATTACTTTCTCCACTAATGATCTGAGGAAGGAGCATAGAAGGTACCTTTTTGACACCTAAATTTGATAGTAAAATGCTTTTTTTTTTCATACCTTCCCACTTAGTTTATAATTTGCCCAGGTATTGATTTGGGGATTTGAAATACTTTTGTTCAAAATTTTGCATCACTCTATTTCATTTGCGTTTTTAGTTTTGCTGTGAGAAGTTCAATGTCTTATTTATTTATTTATTGGTACCGGGGATCAAATTCAGGACCTTGTGCTTGCTGAAGCAGGAGGAGGCAACCCCTGAGCTAAATCCTGGCCCTGCCTTATGTATGTATGTGTGTATTTTTGGTACTGGGGATCGAACTCAGGACCTTGCACTGGAGAGGCAGGAGGTGGCACCACTGAGCTAAATCCCTGGCCCTTGCTGTATTTATTTTTAGTCTCTTTTTCTTTTTCTCCTCCCCCTCCCCTTCCCTTCCCCGCTTTCTCTCCCTTCTCCTCCTCTCTCTCCTCTTCCCCTCCCCTCCTCTCCAGTCCCCACTGTTCCCGTAAGAATACAGCGTCTCCTTTTGTCTCTAGGGTATGAAATTTTCAAATGGCATTCTTTGATAGGAGTCTGTTCTTATATCTGGAGTCTTGCTTTTTAAACTAAAAAGTCATGATTTTTCAGGTGTAAGACCTTTGTAGGACGATTTATTCATTTGATGATTTGCTTCTGTTTTCTCAAGTCTTTGGAGCTAGTATTATTCGGATGCTGAATTTCTTGGATTGATTTGCTCAAGGTTTTAAATTTTTAATCATTCGCTGTGATTTGCTCTAACAGATTTCTTCATATTTATCTTTCAACTCATCTGCCAAGATTTTCTTTGATGCCATAATATTTCAAAAGTTCCTTCTTATTTTAATTTTATAGCAACATAGTTTTGTCTCACTGATACAGTGCAGTTTCTGATAAGCTGAGTATTGATAATAACTTCAGTTTCTATTTCCATCCATAGAGTACCTGTTTGTTATGAGTGGGTTTTCAACATATTTGTTTCGTTCTCAGCTTTCGATGTTTGAGTGTTTCGCCAGGTGTCTAGTGACAGGAAGTAGTGCTCCTCTGTAAGAGCCGAGCCCCGGAAAAGCTGAGGGAAGCAGGCTGCACCGGGCTAGATCTTGTCACCAGGGGGACAAGTTCTCCCATGGAGAACCCCGCAGTACCTCTGTCTTTGGCTCCATTACTCTTTTTTCTTTTCTTTTCTTTTTATTATTTTATTGGTACCTTTTAGGTGTACAGTATAATGGCATTCAATATAATGAATCTGCACCTTTACAAATAATCTGTCTTGGTTCTTATTCCCTCTCACCCCTGGGGGGATTTAGCTCAGTGGTGCCTCTGCCTTACTCCAAAGCACAAGGTTCTGAGTTTGATCCCTGGTACCAAAAAAAAAACCCAACAAAGAAACAAACAAAAAAACCAAAACCAGAATAGCTCTATTACTCTTGACCTGGTCCAGTTTCCCAGTAAAGAAACACAAGCCAGGCTGGACTGGGTTCTGGGAGCCATGTAGGGGAGAGGACTGGGTTTCCTGCCCTACATGAATTCTGTCTGCCCAACGTGTCAGTGAGGGGGTCGTTCTGCGCCGTGACTGATTCCCAGACCTTGACCTAGATTGTCAGAGAGGAAAATAAAATAGGTACATAAGATTCCCCCTTCCGGTGTTCTGCAGGGAAGATGAGCGCATGTACTATCTCCTGAGGAGTGGGGAGGGGCATTTTAAACTCTACTTATGAAAAGAGATCATCAGAGGTGCTCTTCACCCTCACTGCTCCCGGTCCTGGGATTCTCTTCTGCAGTCTCTTGTGGGTGTTTGGTAAAGTTGTGTTGCTTCTTAGTTTCTATTCTCTTCCACCTCGGGAGCCGGCCTGCCTCACCCGCTTCCCGTCCTACTGCTGCGCAGGCTGTTGTAGTGTTTCTTTCTCCTGATCTACTGTTGTGGTTTCTAGCTGCGGCTGATCTCGTCTCTCCTTAGAAGGGATTCCATAGTAGAGTTCTGTGTACTCTGCCTTTCCCACCAGATCTACTTTAACATCTTTTCTTGTTGATGAATACACACCGTAATCTGCATTATAAGGGCAATTTAGGAATCCCATTTTAGAAGCATAATTAACCCCCTTTGTGGTAGACATGGGTTATTGCATGCATCATTGCAAAGAACCAGTTTTTGGTCCTTTTTTTCTTCCTTTTTCTTTTTGCAGAGATCCTTTTTATATCTAAATTTTGTAGATAATTTATCCTTAAATTTATGATGTGGGAAACTTTTTGGCCAAAATGGCATCTTATTTCCAATCTGTAAAGAGGTTTCCTTTTCAGCTTTAGACTGTTCAGTGCAGAGATTTCACTTCATAAATTTTCCTAGCAGATGGCAAATTCTGTGTATGTTTTGCTCATCACAGTGACCCAAGCTGTGCCTGGCACATGGCAAGCATTCAGTGCATATTTGCTAAGTAACATCTCCAGAACAAATTAATTTTTATTATTTTGTTTTAAAACTTCAAAGAGAAAGGGTGTGGTATAGAAGGAAGCAGAAGGTATGAGTCTTACATACCCTGTGTTCATGGCTTTATCCCTTGAGGTAGCTCATCAAGTTAGTGAGCTTGAGAGCCAGGTTAAAGCGAAGCCACCATGCCGGGTGGCGGTGGCGTGGGGAGGAGCACACTGCACTTCTGGGGACAGACTTGGAACAAAGGGCTTGAGAGACAAAGTGGAAACAGGAAGTCCAGTGAAGGATGAAGAATAGTATATGCCTGTTGTGATTTATTGTGTGATTGGATTAAGTACGTATTCTTTGCTTGATCTAGTCCAGGATTCTTCAGAGTGAAATCTGTATGTCATCTGTCTCAAAATCACAAGAGATCTGGTTGAATATGTGTTTTCCTTCACTCACCTGAGGCTTACAGAATCTAATCACTGTGGACCAGGTGGGATTATAGTTAGAACAAGCTCCTTTCACCCTTCAGCTGCCTACCACAATCAATAAATATTTTCTAAATTATTTGCAAAGAACTGTTTAAGAGAGTCACACAAACATCTTCAGTACATTTGTAAAAATACAATAAAATGTCAGTAGTGATCATAGAGGAAGTTCTGATAAGTTGATCTCACATATTTTGATTGAGACAGTCTTGCTATGTAGCCATCTTAGGATTCTCTACATTACCCAGCCAAGCCTTGAACTTGAAATCTATCTCATCCTGAGTCCTAAGATTATAGGCCTGCACCCAGCCCGTGCCTTTATGGATTTTGATTTAAACTAGTATTCTCTAAAAATTTGACTAATAAGCTTAATGTATAGAAATCCAGGAAAACTTATCAGAGATTTTTCTCCTGAAACTTTTCATTCTCAATGCCTAGAGGAATTTACTTACAGTTGGAAAAAAATAACAAATGCACACTATGCATGTCTACTGCACCTATTGCACTTTTGAGGTAATGACTCCAGTTTTTAACCCAACAATGTTTAATTTAGATGATATATTCTTGAAATTGTACTTAATGATTGGCCAAGAAGATGTGCTTTGAGAGAGTTGTTAGATCTGAACATTGGTCACTGTGAGGAGTAATGTCCTGACATAGCGTATGTAAGGACTCTTACCCTGGTGCCAAAACACAGTAGGTATCAGTGCATCCCCCTTGCTATGTAACATACGTGCTCTTTCTCTATGTTTATTGATACATATTTGCAGCATATGATGACTGCCGTCGCCTTTGGAAGTTGGCTCATGTACATAGAAGATCTTAATTCTTTTTACTTCCCTGTGCTGTCCTCCCCCATCGGGAGTTCCACTTCCCTTTTGCAGAGGACCTGTCTCTATTTTGTAGTATCTATCTTTTATTTTGCTCTTTACAGTATTTATACTTTGAGTTGCTCATGTAAGGAAAGCGACGTGATAGTTGTTTGTGTGACTGATTTATTTCACTTAATATTGTGGTCACAAGTTATATCCATTTTCCTACAGTTGTCTCAGTTATCTGTATTTATCTGCTGGTGGACCTACAGATTTAGCTGTTATGAGTTGTGCTGCTGTAAACACGGGTATGCATGTATCACTGTAATACGATGTCTTTAACTCTTTTGTGAAGGTACCTAGCAGAGAAATAGCAGGATCACATGGAGTTTCTAGTTTTAGTTTTTTGAGGAATCTCCACACTGCATAGTGGTTGTACTAATTTACGTTTGCAGCAGATAAGATTGTTTCCTTTTCCCCACAGCTTCTCCAGCATTTATTATTGCATTCCTTGGTAATAGCCGTTCTTGCTGGAGTAAGATGAAATCTCAACATTGTTTTAATTGTCATTTCTCTGTCATGTTTTTATTTAACATTTGAGATTTCTTTAAGAAGTGTCTATTCATTTCAGTTGCCCATTTTTTGATTGGGTCTTCTGTGTGGGGTCTAGTTTTTTTTAGCTCATTATGTGGTCCAGATGTTAGTCCTTTGGCTGAGGAATTGCCGTCCAGCATTCTGCCACATTCTGTCATTTGTTTCTTGCTATAGTCACTGACTGCTTTGTTGTGCAGAGCTTTGGGACTTGATATAATCCCATTTATCAGTTTTTTTATGTTATATCTTTCATGCATTGGGCTTGTGACATCAGGTGCAGCTGTTTATAAGGATCTCCATTTTAAGGATTTTATTTAAAGACTGTGAGGAGCAAGAAGATTACGTATAAAGTTATCCAAAGACAGTTGTGTGGTGAATAGTGAAGCTTATTGTTGAGCCCAGAAAATTACCTTTACAAGATGACGTGTACTGTGGTGCCCTTGCTCAAAGCTAACAGGAGCAGCAGTACAGTCACAGGTGGGCACCTCTGCATGTAAAACTGGATGGGGAAGACATGTCTTTGCAAATATGTCTTGATGTTTGCTAAGTTTGTCCTTCCTAGTCTTGCAAATTAAATATTTCTGATAATTTATTGTAAAACCTGTGATGCCCCTCACATAGTGAGAACTCACAATATGAAGTAAAAAGACAGTGTTAGGCTTCAGTCTCAATTTAAAATGCTGGATCTGTGATTTCTTGGCTCTGTGTAACTTGCTTACCTTTGAGTCTCTACTGTTCATCTGAGACATTGATAGCATTTTATCTGTGGTACTAACACGAAGTAATGTTTATGACATTGTTTCATTGACCTCCTTGTACTCAGTTAAATACAGCTGTTTAATATACAAAACACATCTTGAAAGGCTTATGAGTATTCGAATGACATGTATACTATATAGAAAGTACAGTTTTTATCACAGACATAGAATATCTGTTTTCTGTTGTCATTGTTATGAATACTTTACTTCCTATTTGTTTAGTTTTTTAATTTTTAAAATTTTTACTAGCAAACATTTGCAGCACATGATGATTACGTTTATCAAGGAGAATTAGTGCAGGTACACAACACATCTTCATTCTTAGTTCTCCTTTTCTTCCGCTCATTCTCCTGTCCCTCCAGTGCTTGGCCCGTTCCCATTTGTAAAAGATCTATCTCCTTGTTTTTTATTATGTATTTTTTGAAGCAAAGCATTTATTGGTACATTTTAGATGTACATAATGATGACATTCATCATAAGGGAATTGTAACTGTACATGATATATTTTTATTCCTTTTTTCCAATTCCCTTTTCCCTCCTTATTTACAAAACCTGTTTCCATTTTTCCTTCTGTTTTCTCTTTTTTTCTTGTACCTTCTCCCCTGTCCCTTGTTCTCCTTACCATTGAAACATTTTCTTCCCATGTCCCAAAGTCTGTTGCATATTTTAGCCTAACCCTTGGGCAGAGGACTGTGGTCTGCTAAACTACAGATGCTTAACTCCCTTTCTTTCTTCTTTTCAGCAAAGTTTGGTAACATGCTTTTGAGAAGTTCGGGAAAATTAAATGTGGGCACCAAGAAAGAGGATGGTGAGAGTACAGCCCCCACCCCTCGCCCGAAGATCTTGCGTTGCAAATGCCACCACCACTGTCCAGAAGACTCAGTCAATAATATTTGCAGGTTGGTGATGCAAACGATTTCAATGTAGCTTTATCACAGGGTTGTACCTTTCTAATCATAAGTGATTCCAAACATACATTTTGGAGAATGGTGCCCACCTTCATTAACTCGGAGAGCTTTGCTACCTTTTGAGAAAGGCAGGATTGTATATTACCCTAAACTGGTTCTGGTCTTCTCCCATTAGAGGGCCCGTAGGCACACAGACACACCACAGATCCCAGATTCCTTCTCGAAGCAAAAGCCAGCTGCTATTTGCCAAACACTGACTCTCTACAATCGGTTCAGTAGCAGTAGGAGTCGCATGTGTGTGATATTTTGACCATTCATCATGTTGTTGGTGGTGGTAATTTCAAAAGAACACCTAAGCTGTTTGGAATATTAATAAACTGACTCTGAGATCAGAGTGTTTTGACAGAATTTATGTGGATCCACCAAATGTTAGGAAACACATTGTCAAAGTACTAGAAAATAAAGTACTAAGTTGATAATCATGTTTTATAATGCTTTTTAACACTTGAAGTGAACTGTTTGCATTTTTCACATTTCCTTCTTCCCACCTTTATGCAACTGTATCTATTGTGCTTGTTACAGTAGCTGCATTTACTTTTTTTTTTTTGGAGACAGGTTCTCACTATGTAGTTGAGACTGACCTGGAACTCACTATGTAGCCCAGGCTGATCTTGAACTCACAGCGATCCTCCTGCCTTAGCCTCCCGAGTGCTGGGATTACAGGAGTGCGCCACTACGCCCGGCTGCTGCATTTACTTGTGAGATTGAGAACAACAAAAGCAAAGAGCCATAGCCTAAGGAGCCCAGAGTGTGTGGAAAGAGAAGTGGAGAAGGTGACCAGATAAGAGTGGTCCTCAGTTAAGTGCCTGCGAAGCGGAGCCTGGCTCTAGAGAGTCTGGATACCATTTGGGCAGTGGACAGCTAGTTTAGAGCCCAGGTAGACTGTCTGGGCTGCCGTGTGCAGCTTTGAGTGTCAGGAGAGTACACAGATCTGAATTCAGCGCATCTTTATCTCCAGGGAACGCTTACGAAGTTTCCTATGGTGCAGAGTTTAACTGGAGTATCCCGGATCCAAAATACCTCATAGTTGCAAACTGTTGGAGCATAAACATAATGTCCTGAGTAGAAAACTCCACACCTGATTCCATGCGATGGAGTGCACACAACTACAATTCGAGCACGGGCACTTTAAAAATGTGTAAAATTTCCTTCAGGCCATTTGTATAAGGTATACGTAAAACATTAATAAATTTCATCTTCAAATGTGGGTCCCAGCTCAACCTCGGTAAGTTTACTGATACGTGGCGAAGACCCAGTATATTTAGCACAAGAAATAGACATTAACTGATATAACACAGGGAGAAAAATTGGATGTGATAAAAAATACATCTCTCGTTTAATCAGCAGAGCGACTTGGAATTGCAGGGAATGCCGATCCTCACAGAGAGATGGAGTCTGCCATCCAGGGAGGTCTGTCACCAAGGCATTCACCTCCCTGAACTTTGTGACTATGTGAAATCTTTTGGCGCTCCCCCAGGTTTTCCCAGGAAACAATGTATCTTTAGAGTAAGGAGTGGCAGGAAAATTTAAAATTTTCCTAAGCAGGGAGAAATTAGCAGGTGGAAGGTAATTAAGAGAGTATTTTAGTATTTTTGTCTAAGTCTGTAGTAATGATATATCACTTGGGCTGTTGTCATGGTGATCATGTGTTTAGGATTTCCTGCAACTGTCTTTTTTTTTTTGGTACCAGGGATCAAACTTAGGTCCTTACACTTGGAAGGCACGGTGGAACCACTGCAACTGTTTTAATTTCAAATACTTTGTCCCATGTTCCTCTTAAGCCACTGCAGTGTCATTTGGATTGGGAGAAGGTGTGTTCGGGAAGGGCATGCCTGCTGGAAATGCTCTGCTGTGGGAAGGAGAAGCCTGTGTGTCCAGGGGAGACTGGCTTCTTAGAGCACAGGGGCCAGAAGCAGGTGACGTTACTGTGTGTGGTAGGCTGTGTTAATGTTAGCTGTACCCCCTGAGGGAGGGGGAAGTCATGACAAGGTGCCGCAGCAGGAGTGGCAGCTGGGGTGACGTGACTGGATTTGTTTCTTTGAAAAATGTCTTTGCTGCAGAATACTGAATGTATAAGAAGTAGGCGGAAGTACAAAGACAATTTGAAAAGTAGATTCAGTAAGAATAATTCCTGTGAGAGAAAATAACCTGAAACTAGAATGTTACTGGTGTAGGAGAGTGGGGTGAACTTGAGAAATATTTAGAATGTGAAGCCGTGGGTTAATGGATGGGATATGGGAGGCGAGAGATCCCATGATCCCGTGATCCTGGACATAGATTTACATGCATAGCATCGCCTTTAATGAAGTTGGACGGAGAAAAGCAATGAAGTTCCAGTGGGCACATTGGTGGAGATGTCAAGGGGTCTAGGCAGTAGGCCACAGTCTCTGCTCAGATAGGCATTCAGGAGGGTACAAGTAGCCTTAGCATTGCAGAGGCTTGTAGGTCCACACATAACTTGTTTCATTTGGAGGTTGATAGGGTGGCTGCAGCAGGACTGGGCTCTGCTGGGACTGGGGTGGGGGATTGACTTCAGCCCTGCTGCTCATTTCTTCATTCTCCTTGGACCAGCAGTTCCCAGGACTTGTTCTCACTCACATGACTCTTAAAGGCTCTGTGTGGTCGTGCCCCCCAGGGTTCCCTTAACCAGATTAAGTGAGGTAGTCAAGCTCAAAGTCAACAGGAACTCACTTACATAGTGAAGCATGAAGATTTAGGAGCAGGGATTGAGAGCATATCTACCTGACTAGAAGTGAGCCGGGAGACATTTAATGCTCTAGCGAGAGATGATGTCCCGGGAGACTAAGAAGTAGTGTTATTGGAGCTGCGTGTACAGAGGGAAGTAGTAAAGGTGATTATGTTGACTGTGAGGAGAGATCAAGGATGAGAAATGAAAAATGTCAGCCAAATGTCATGGTGTTAGTAAGAGCAGTCTAGAGATACTCAGCAGATTGAGATGGACTTCAGATAATATGGTTGTCACTTTTTGATTTATGGTAGCAAATGGGGAAAAAAAGACCCAAAAGAGACAAAATTGGCAACAGTAATCATGGGACCTCCCAGAAAAACTGTTCTGTACTGTTACAGTCAATGCAGGTGGACTAACCTGTCGGCATAAACAGAAAATTAATAATTACCAAAATGTTCATAAATACTAGCGTGTTTACTTTCACCTATCACTAATTGCCACAGCATTCTTAGAGAGATGGAGCATTATTTATATTTTACATGTAAGGAATCTGAGGCTCTGAAAGCCTATGTGGTTTTCTCAGAAATCTGAGGTGTGATGGTCTGATGAAAAGACCGTGGCCAAGACTCCAAAGTCAGGAGTTCTTGGCCAGCAGCCATCCGGACACTGGTTCTCAGAGGTCAGCAGCGGCAGGGACCTGAGTTGAAAGCTCCAGTTGCTTGCTGGTGTGGTGTTGCCTCCAGGAGCGTCCTGTGCGCTGCGATCCATCCTGTGGGAATGACAGGGGATGCTCCTTCCCCTCCGCGCCTGTGTGCCCCCACTGACGTCTGTCCTCTGCAGTGGTGCTTCCCAGACTCTCTGGAGAAGGACACCCCCCCATGAGTAGTACACTGATACTTTTGTAAAGCAGAATAAAAATTAATGTAACATGAATTGAAAAATTTGTAAACTACATGCTTTTTCTATTTTCTGTTTAGTTTCGGCACACATGCAGTGCCCACTCTTTCGATGTGCTACTTAAGTTTCAGTTTTTGCGCTAACCTCTTCACAGACCAGTTCCCATCTCCAGCTGCATGTCTTGAGACTCTCAGGACAGATGGAAAGCTGGGGGACTGCTGGGCTCTTTGCAGTTTACATTAATCCAGGCCTTTGACCTTGATGAGTGCAATGGTGTGGATTCTTAGGAGGTGCTTCTGACCTCCATCTGTATAGTGTGACTGTTCTGTTTGTTATCTTGTATGTCTCCCCTTGTGTGATGAGTGCCACTGTAAGCATTCCGTTTTTGCCACTGTTGCACAGGCCATCTAAACATCCAGCTTTACAATTTTTTCCCCCAGTAGAAGATGCTGATTTCAAATAATTGTTCTTAGGAAAATGGCGAGTCCTTTATTAGAACTTGTCATTTAGTTGTAAGAGTCTGTGATTACAAATTAACTAATGAAGTCTTTTATAAAAAAATTACCCTCCTTTTGTGCCTCTCAGTCAGAAATGAGAACGTTGAATGGGCCCAGTTTGTTGTTGGAATTAAGTGAGTAAGCATCTTTAAAATTATACACAGAGAACTATTGAAGATTGTTGAGCAGAGAAAGAAAACTTAAGGTCTCTCAGAATACACTATAGAGCAGTGATGGCAAACCTTTTAGAGCTTTCGGTGATACAAGCAGCCTGCTGTGGCACTCGTGTGTGCCGTAGGTTTGCCACCACTGCTTTGGAGAATGGGTTAATTTTAGAGATGAGCAGAGAAGACCTTCTAGGAGGCTTTGAAAGGAATAGTGAGGTAAGTCGCACACTGGGACCTTGTCATTCGTGTTGTAACCTTACCTTCGCTGATTACAGTGATGCCTCAGAGGAAAAGCAGAAGAAGGGAACACAGAACCAGAAACATTTTATTCTTTTTCCCTCCAACCCTATGGGAATCTGTCCATGTAGGAGAGAAAACAAAAACCAAAAACCTTAGGATCCTTTCACTTTGGTAGTTACTACTACTCAGCATTCTTTGCATATTTCTTAGTTGGTAGAACACATTTAGGTAGTTTACAGTTTCTACTCTTACTGCTTCAGGTGGGATGACTGTCTCTCTTCTAGGACTGGTGGGCTTCATACATGAGGAGCTCCTTAGAAACAAAGCCCACATCCCCTGACCCTGTGTTGTCAGCACCTCGATCCACCTGAGTCCCAGTGTGCCCCATGGATATAAAATGAACCCCTGCTGAGGGGGTCGTGGCCCTCAGCTCACTAAAATGTACATAATTTAGGCAGCAACTCTACCAACTTTATATATCTTTGAGTTCACCTGTGACAGAAAATTCTGAAAACTTTATTTCCTTAGGCCTGAAATAGATATTTTGGAAGACCGGATTTTCTTAAGTGTTTGTTTAAAAGAAACCAGCTAATATGAGTGAAAATTAAGTTAATAAAAATTAAGAATTCTAGTATTTGTTATATATTGGGGGAAAAAGGAAAAAACCAGTAATCATTTGCGAGAACTGTTCATCCTTGTGGGCAGAGGACATTGAGCAGATACTTATACAGTTAATTTTGATTGAGAGCAGATTGAAAATAATGCTTTTAAATTTTCTGTTATCGAATTGAGCAAAGCAGATAAAATCTTTGGTAATTATTTTAGAGTTAATTTAATCCATAGAAAGATTTGAGCTAGTCAGAGTGTTCGGAAATAGTTCCTTTGCAGCTATGGTGCCTGTTTATGAACAAGCTTGGGGTTTGCAATAAATGTGAGACCTTAGTAGAAGAAAAGAGCTAGAGGGACCAAAGCTTGGACATGCCTTATGACACTATGTTCATGCTGCGTGAAGATGCCTCCAGCTTCACATGCCTTGTGGAATTGATTTCTTGCCATCTACAACAGTGTAGGAAAGGGGTGCATTCCAAAAGGCCGCTTAACCCATTGGACATGAAATGAGAGGAGATTAAAAACCTTGCAGTCTCTAGCAGCATAACCGCATACCTAAAAAGGGGACCACTTGGCTCTTCCAAGGGTCAAAACGGAAAGACCCCTTTCCTGATGATGTATGCTCACTTGGGCACACTGAAAATCGATTTGAGGCAGTTCATACCCTGATAATCCTTTTGGATGTTCCAGAAACACCTTTGCTTTTGGAACATTGGACACTTAAGAATCTGTAGAACCACCCAGGGGTTATGGCAAAAGTCGCATTAATCACTTTTTGAAATCTTGTAATCTTTAAGTTCTTGAGTGCCTTTTTTTTTCTGTAAATTAAAGTCCTGTCAGGAGATTTTCAGCCTTGGTGACTAAGTGGGTGTGCCCATAACTGCTGTTCCATTCTGATCACTGTTCTTGGTTGTAACACAAAGGGGCAGCATTCTGAAAGTGTTGCTGTTAGTTTTCTCTCTCTCTCTGTGTTCATAACCATTACTGTAATTCAGTGATTGGGCCTACAATTATATCTATATATCTATATCTATATCTATCCTACTACAGTTTTGTTTAAAATTCTTTCTCCTTTGGTTTCCTTTGTGGTTCTTCCTCTCTTCTTATCACCTTCAGCACTCTGGGGGTGATGGGGTAATAATCTTCTTATACAAGGCTAAGTGAAATGTGGCACCCAGGCAGCTGGGATACTCATATGATCAGCCAGGAGCTGATTTCCCTTCCTGACATCCAGCAGTGGAATCTCAGTGGTGGGCAGAGTTCATTGCCCTTGACTCTGGGGCTGAGTTTTGTTTATGTTTGTGCTTGTTTGAGGGTTTAAAGCTCTTGCAAGTAATTCTCAAACTTCACAAATGTACTGCAAGTTTCCAGTTAATTCCCCTGCTTAGATAACAATTTCAAAGAGAAGCTTATAAACCACTTTTGCATAGGAAATGGCTTTCTCACCTCCTCCTTCAACTATTTGATTCCTTTGTGAATTTATGGTGAATGAAACATTGATTCTTTTCTCCAAGTCTCTCTTTCTCACTTTTGCTTCTTTATATTTTTGGCTTCCCCCTCTTTGCAAACAGGGGAGTGAATTTTAAAAACTTGAATATGCTTTTCACTGATGTTTATGTTTCCTAGGAACTTACAACATTAACTTACCAACAGCTTTAGTGCATTTTCTCATCCCTTTCTTTATTTGCATATATTATCTAGAAATCCATTTCCATGTACTCAGATTTTGAGTATACTTTGACTATATTTTCCAGTAACCTCAGTACTCCCTTCTGCTTTAAACACACTTTTCCTATCTTTGTAGCCACTTTCTGAGGCAGTTTTGATAGTCCTCTTTCGTGACTGTCTTTATAAGGGGTCATATAAAAAAAAAAGCAAAACAGTGACTACAGCTGCTTTATTCCATGCAAAGGGAAGTCAGGCTCACAAAAACATGGTGTGTCCTCATCCACCTTGGTCACCAGTTCCAGCCCCTTGTGACTTCCGGTTCTTCCCCATGTCAAAATGACCATGAAAGGGAAACATTTTGAATCAACTCGGGACGTCAGGACACCTAGACAGTCGTGACAGCACAACTAAAGACCCAAAAGAGGACTTGAACTGCTTCACAAAGTGGCAAGAGTGATGGCATAAGTGCGTCTGAGGGAAGGGCGGGTATTTCGAGTGGGATTAATGGCAGTGTGTCTTTTACTGTAATACATTTTTTAAAATGTTTAAATTTTGAGCGTACCCTGTAAGTTACATAGTCTATGCATGTATAAAACAAATTTTAAAATCACACAAGTATTGTTTATTCATGTTATTTAAATTTTGAAGAATCAGCTATCTTATTTACTGTTTTTAACGTTTATATGTTTACATTTTTATAGAACTTTCAGTAAATTTATTAAAATGCCCCAAGAGAATCAGAATATGTCTTTCTTCTGCGGCAGTATTCATGCATTTGACTTTCATCTAGCAAAGTGATCTGTCATTGGCCCTTCCTTGCTGTTCGTTAATGCACTTGAGCTGGGCTGTGCTCCTTCTCACAGACCGAGCCTGTAAACCAAGGAAACTCTTCTAAGGGTGTTGATGAGAACTGAAGGGCGGGTGCCTGGCCGAGTGCTGCTACCCCTGATGCAGAATAGACAGCCCTACGCATCACGGCTGGCACCGTCCTCACAGTTGTCTTCCTGCATCACACTGTCAGGTCTCTGAATGCTGGCCATGTATTTGAATGAGGCAAGGATGATGGTAAGGTTCAGTGGTTTATTACTGATGTTGGGTGTCCCCCAGCATTCACCACCCCGGTGTAGCTCCAATTCTTGTGTGAATGAAGTCGGAGGAACCTTGCTTGATTCAAGGCCTGATTCTGCAACTACTTTTTAAATTTTCTTACAGTTATATATTTGCAGTGCATAATAATTAGACTTTTGGGGAATTGGTACATACCTTAGGGCAGTGGTGGCCAGCCTATGGCCTATGTATTATTTATTTGTTCTTCTTTAAGACAAAAGATGTTAATGTATGAGGTTTTTTTTCTAAACTAAAACTTCAGTATTCATGTTTGAGTGTAGGCATTTTGCAATATACAGGTGGGTTTTAGTGGACTTCGGGTTGCAGGGTAAGCTGCTGTCTGTAAGGTTTACCAATTGTAGCCTGACTATAATTATTTTTGACTTTGCATAAGGTAATTACTTTCTCAATTTCTCCACCTATAAAATAGAAATATTAATGTCTTCTTGTTCTTCAGAGGAAAACATGGGAAAAATAAAAATTGTCTGTTTCCATTTTTCTGTCAGAACACCGTTGTGAGTCCTTCACTGCTCCTAAACTGAAGCCCAGATGGCTGAAAACAAAGCTCACTCTCTCCCTGTTACAGGCCAGCCCACAAAGTGGAGGAGCAGGGGCACAGTCACCATTGCTCAGTCTGCCATGCCGATCCAGTGCCTTCCTGGCTTTCATTGTATTGGTGTTTCAGATGAGATGAATGTACTTCTCAGCTCAGACAGGTGGAGCCAGCATCAGCATGCACCTGCACAGGACCAGCCCTGCCCCCCCCCCACTGTGCCCTTCTGGGAAATTACTGACCCTCTCTGAGCCGCAGTTTCCTCACACAGAAGTTGAGGATGGTACTACCTTCCTCAGAGTTGTTTGGTTGGGATTTGTCTGGAGAAATTTCCACCTGGGAATGGCCAATATGAGTTCAGTAAGTGGTATAAATGGTTATGAACGGCAATTCATGATACGTGATATGGGAATTTTGATTCCTCCTTTCTCATGAATTTCTAGGTAAAGAAGGCATTAGCAGATGTTTTGAAAACAGTGAAATACATATTCATAAAAGGAAATTTTGAGATTATCCGAGCAGTTTGTAGCCTGTTCTGGTGATTCACTTCCTCGCTATGTGCGTTGAAACAAATGATACATGTCCTTTATCTCACTTCCCCAGACACACTCACTCATTCTCGCTCTCCCACTGCCTTGCCTGTCTCCCTCCAGCACAGATGGATACTGCTTCACAATGATAGAGGAAGATGACTCTGGGCTGCCTGTGGTAACTTCCGGATGTCTAGGCCTGGAAGGCTCTGATTTTCAGTGTCGGGTAAGGAAGAAGACAACTTGATTTTACTTTGTAACTTTGCAGGGGCTAGATTTCCAGCAAGATCCAAGCAAGACAAAGCAATTGTTTTTCATAGCTAGCCATTAGTAATTTGGAAAAAAATTGAAAATTCTCACTGGGCCAATTCTCCCTTCAGTTTGAATTGTGAAACAGCGTCTCATTAGATTATCTTCCAAATCCAATTTATCTAATCACATTAAGCTGAGACTTCTTCAGTTTACGTGTACTAGTTATTACAGACATAGTAGTAATTTTGTTGAAATGCAAAACTTGTAGTAAGATAGTACAGGATAGTTTGACTGATAGCAAATAATATTTTAAGATGCACAAAATTATTAGAATTTTTGGTAAGTTTTCTAATATTTTTTGTTGTAGACAATATGGCATTGGAACTTAACATAAACGTGCTAATCATCGTGTGGGTTCCGTTGTAGGACACACCTATTCCTCATCAAAGAAGATCCATTGAATGCTGTACAGAAAGGAATGAATGTAATAAAGACCTACACCCTACACTGCCTCCGCTGAAGAACAGAGGTAAGGCCGGGAAGGCTTCTAGCTGGAAAAGAAGCATAGGCAGCAGGCAAGCAAGCCGCACAGTCATGGTCTTTCCCTGTGCCTCTCCGGCGGGACTGCTCTGTGCAGCCAGGTTGGATCCCTGCATAGTCTTTCCCAGGGTGGTATGCCTGTCACGTGCCCCTGCGGAGGCAGAGGATGGTAAGACCACAGGGTCTGTCGTTCAGAGCACGGCAGGTGTTCTGCTTTCCTTGGCTGCGGTCCTCTGCTGATGCTCACACTTTGACTCCTCCCCACATCTCTCCAGAAGGCGGCTCCTAGCTCTCGGCCGCTCCTAGCTCTCGTGAAGCTCCCACGCTGTAGACAGTGCCTTCTGTTACCCCTAAAAGCGCTTCAGAAGTTGTATTTATCTCTAAAACTACATTTGGGCTGTATTGATTTTAAAAATAAAGGCCTTATAAGGGGCTAAATAGAAGATTATTTGCTCCATTACCCTGCATTTTGTCTACACCGGAGTAATTTTCATCAAAGCAGGTATGAGTATATTGATAAGACATCTAAAGGTTTTAATTTTAAAGCTTACACAGTTAAGCGTTTTTTTATTAAAAAATTATTATACCCCAAATAACTTTTGGGTAGAAAGAGCACCCATATTTCCTTTTTCCTCCTTGTTCTCACCATGTAACAAATGACTTGCCGTCACCGACTCAAGTCCTCAGTCTCACATAGGTGGCTTAAAATGATCCCTCGTGATTCATTTTATTTTTTAAAAAGAGAAAAGCTCTCCAACAAAATATAATGGAATTTCTTGGGTTTGATAACACTTTATAAAAATTTTCCTGCTGTAGCCTAGAAACTATGAAATGTTGATTCACAAGAATTCACATAAAAAACTCATAGTTCTTTTAATTGTTTCCAAACAATGTGATAAACATTAAGAACACAGAAATAGATGAAGAAAATTCTTTCTTCCAAGACATGTGCACTAGGATATGAGAAAGAAACATCTAAATAACTAACTTACACAGTGATACCTCGGTCACCGAGCTCAGTTTGTTCCAAATTTGTTCTCAAACTCTGAAAAATTTGAGAACTGAATATATGTTTTCCATAAGACATAATGGAAAACTAAACAATTGGTTCTGAAGCCCCAAAATTATAAATACATTTTTCCAGCACTTTTAACAAATTTCACAATAATTTCTTCTTTAACTCTACCATGGTTCTCACAGTTTTCCTCTTAGCTTTACTGCTGGAATCACTAACTTTCTTTGAGGCCATGATTATGATATTTTACACAAATAAAATGCAAAAAAGCACAGTGAGTTAAGTTCTAATGCAGGGACGTGGTGCTGTCTGTAGTCTGGGCTGTCTGCGGTGAGCCGCGGCCTCAGTCCCCACAGGTTTCTGTAGTGGGATTTTCAGTTTGACTGTGGATCACAGTTGTATGCACTGGTTAACTTTGCTGTTCAAGTGGTGGGCAGTTCGATCTCAGAGCCAGTCCACAGCCGCAGTGTTGCTGTGTCCGATCAGGAGTAGGTCCATATTTAAGTTAGGTCGTACAGTGTCCTACAGACACAGGGACACAGGACTGTGAGTGGCGCACTCCATCTGGGGTGGGAGGGGTCACAGCG